TGCCCTCCCAGCGCCACCCGGCAGAACACCCAGCCCCGCTGAGGCTCCCGTGGCTGGGGCCCCGTGGGAGACGGGTGCCAGCCCTTCCTGGGAGATGGCGGAGAGCAGGAGCAATTTCAGGCAGGCGGTTGTGTGGGCAAGGAGCAGAAAACGCTCCTTTATTTAGCTGCCACCTCAGAGCCAACCCACCCCCCCGGAAGGGCATCTTCCCAGAGTGCCACTATGGGAGCCCTCCAAGAGCTCAATCACTTTTTTTTTTCCTTTTTCTTAAAAAAAACCAGCCAGACAGAATCTGTGAGCAATTTTTTTAAAATTGGATTTCATAATCTGAACCATATGCACGTAATTTTTCTTGGTCACATAGGAAAGAGACTTTTTGTACTTGGGGAAAAGAAGTTTCTGAAAATCCAGCCATCGCAGCAGCCTCCACGGGAAGTTGTGAATAATTGTAAGTGCATAATGAAACAGGCAGCACTAAGGGCCATTCCTTAAATGCATGCTTCATTCCCCGGACACTGACAACAGTCAGTGGTATCCAAGAACACAGCACTCCCACAACAATTTCAGAAATCATTAGCAGATATTTTACTGACACGGCCTTTGCATGAAAACCCTTCAGCATGTAAACATTTTTCTGCAGAGCTAATCATACTCCATACTCCTTTCAGCATCAGGAAGATTCATCAGGAGCCAAGGCGTGTTAAAACAAGTAGTTTAGACATTCTGAAACTGTTTGTGCTTACTTGTGATTTATCAGATTGGTTTCTAAAGAGCCTTTATACTGGCAGGTCACCAATACAGGGCTTTTTTTGATGCCAGTTGCTACATTTTACACCCCATTCCATCACGTTCTTTTCAAGGTTAAACAACATTTAAATGTCACTCCTGGATTGCAAGATTTTCTCCTTCTCTCGTCAGATAATACGACAAAAACGTATTGTTCCCCTGACAGGCAGAAACCTGGCAACACCTAGAGGCTCCCTTTGCTGGGGCCAGCTACTGCAGGTACAAACCTGTTGGAAACAAAGGTACTCAAAGGCAGTTTTACAAAAGCTCCCCTGCGCACAGGCCAGCGGCACAGATGCCAGGGACGCTCCGTGGTACCTGCGCCCGAGGATGGAAATCAGCCTTTTAGAGAAATCGAGGCCTCGGTTCGGGCTGTGCAAAGTCCTCCGTCACAGCGAGGATGCTGAGCTCCAGCTGCTGCCCCTGGAGGATCACAAACGTTCAGGGAGCAAATGTTTTCAAAAACATCTGGATAATTTATCCTGCTTGGACTAAAACCCACATGCCTATTTATATAGTACAGGCCATGGTACATCACCAGCTTGCTTCTGCACAGTAGGGTCACGTGCAAGTGCGTGTACACGTGGTTTCATGGGAAAATACCCCCTTGCAAGGGCTGCCGGGCCACGGGGCTGCCAACGTGTGATCAACCACCCACATCTTCGACACTACACATCCACCCTGCCTATTCCTCCCGCTCGCCACGACGCATCTTAAAAAATGCTCCAGAAACTGCAAAGTAGAAAAAAATTACTCCAAAACTTAAGGGATTGTCTAAAATCCAGCAAAACCAGTATGGAAGCAGTCTAGTTCTTAGGCCCAGGGTATCCTGAGGGCCTGAAACCACCAGCCCCATCTGTGCCCCTCAGCAGGGATCCCACCACAGAAAGGCAGCGCTAAGCATTAGTGCCACGCAGAGATGGGAACCCCAAAAACGGAGAAAACGGGGTCGCAAGGGAAGAAGGACGTTCAGTCTCGGAGCAGAGGAGACCCCTGTAACAAATCCCTTCCTGAATTCACCTCGTCAGTACTTTTAACCCTTTCACACCCCTCCTGTGACCCACAGCAGCACCCTCAAGGTGACCTGCCACCTGTGCCACCGAACGCTGAGCCGATCGCTGCCATGGACCAGCGAGGCAGAGGAGCAGCCGCCGCGGCCAGGAGCCCCATGGGGCAGAGTGTCGAGCCGGGGAAAAGCCTTGGTCGGCAGCCCCCCGCCGCAAGCACATACCAACAGCAAGTGCTGCTCTTCCGGAAGCAGAGAGGAGAGGGAGGGACCTGAAATGAAGCCATACAGGCACGTATTCCCCGTAAGCGGCACGCTGAGATGGAGCACAAACCTCTTTGCCCCGTGGGGTACCAGGG